ATGTCATGTTATTGTTTAGGATATGAGCAGACTCACCACTTCACTCATGTCATGTTATTGTTTAGGATATGAGCAGACTCACCACTTCACTCACGTCATTGTTTAGAATCTGAGCAGACTCACCACTTCACTCATGTCATGTTAAGGATCTGAGCAGACTCACCACTTCACTCATGTCATGTTATTGTTTAGGATATGAGCAGACTCACCACTTCACTCATGTCATGTTATTGTTTAGATATGAGCAGACTCACCACTTCACTCATGTCATTGTTTAGAATCTGAGCAGACTCACCAATTCACTCATGTCATGTCATTGTTTAGGATATGAGCAGACTCACCACTTCACTCATGTCATGTTATTGTTTAGAATCTGAGCAGACTCACCACTTCACTCATGTCATGTTATTGTTTAGGATCTGAGCAGACTCACCAATTCACTCATGTCACGTTATTGTTTAGGATCTGAGCCGACTCACCACTTCACTCATGTCATGTTAAGGATCTGAGCAGACTCACCACTTCACTCATGTCATGTTATTGTTTAGGATATGAGCAGACTCACCACTTCACTCATGTCATGTTAAGGATCTGAGCAGACTCACCACTTCACTCATGTCATGTTATTGTTTAGGATTTGAGCAGACTCACCACTTCACCTATGTCATGTTGTCATGTTAGTGTTGAGAATCAGAGCAGACTTACCGCTTCACTCATGTCGTGTTCAAACTTGTGTTTCATGAGGCATTTGTAGACTTTACCATTACCAGACGTCAGTTTCTCACAGAAACGCTCTCTGTCATTGCGACAAGCAAAAAATAAAGCTCTGTCTTGATGATAATCATCGGCTGAGAATTCAGCAATACGTAGTATCTGGTGTTTACAATCAGAATTTAGTTCATCTGCGTGTCTCTGAAGACAATTTATAACTTTACCTTGCTGATGATTTTCACCCTGGAAATAAATATTTCACTTGATTTTAACACAAGCTAATACACCAGTAGATCAAAGCATTAACTACAATGAAGGCAATGAATGCCATGACAATCAGTCCTGATGCAGTCCATGACATTCAATGAACGAAAAGTCACTCAGCGAAGTCCATGACATTCAAGAAAGCCACATGATTTAGTGAAGTCATGACATTCAATGAAGTACAGTGTTTAATGCGCCATAGTACATTCAATGAAAGCCATGACATCCAATGCATTCTGTGGCATTCAATGAAAGCAATGACATCCAATGCATTCTGTGACATTCAATGAAAGCAATGACATCTAATGCACTCTGCGGCATTCAATGAAAGCAATGACATCCAATGCATTCAGTGACATGCAATATATTTAATGACATCCAATGCATTCAGTGACATTCAACGCATTTAATGACATCCAATGCATTCAGTGACATCCAATGCATTTAATGACATTCAATGCATTCAGTGACATTCAATGAAAGCTATGACATCCAGTGAAAGACATGACATCCAATGCATTCAGTGACATTCAATGCATTCTGTGATATTCAATGAAAGCTATGACATCCATCGCATTCTGTGACATTCAATGCATTCAGTGACACCCAATGAAGGACATGACATCCAATGCATTCAGTGACATTCAATGAAAGCTATGACATCTATCGCATTCTGTGACATCCAATGCATTCAGTGACATCCTATGCATTCAGTGACATTCAATGAAAGCTATGACATCCAGTGAAAGACATGACATCCAATGCATTCAGTGACATTCAATGCATTCTGTGATATTCAATGAAAGCTATGACATCCATCGCATTCTGTGACATTCAATGCATTCAGTGCACCCAATGAAGGACATGACATCCAATGCATTCAGTGACATTCAATGAAAGCTATGACATCTATCGCATTCTGTGACATCCAATGCATTCAGTGACATCCTATGCATTCAGTGACATCCTATGCATTCAGTGACATCCTATGCATTCAGTGACATCCAATGCATTCTGTGACATCCAATGCATTGTGTGACATCCAATGCATTGTGTGACATCCAATGCATTTTGCGTCATCTAATGCATTCTGTGACATCCAATGCATTGTGTGACATCCAATGCATTGTGTGACATCCAATGCAGTCAGTGACATCCTATGCAGTCAGTGACATCCAATGCATTCAGTGACATCCAATGCATTCAATGACATCCAATGCATTCAATGACATCCAATGCATTCAATGACATCCAATGCATTCAATGACATCCAATGCATTCAGTGACATCCAATGCATTCTGTGACATCCAGTGAAGGACATGACATTCCATGCATTCTGTGACATTCCATGCATTGTGACATCCAATGAAAGCCATGACACCCAATGCCTTATGCGACATTCAATGCATTCAGTGACATTCAATGAATTCTGTGACATCCAATGCATTCTGTGACATCCAATGCATTCTGCGTCATCCAATGCATTCTGCGTCATCCAATGCATTCTGCGTCATCCAATGCATTCTGCGTCATCCAATGCATTCTGCGACATCTAATGCATTTTGCGACATCCAATGCATTTTGCGACATCCAATGCATTCTGTGACATCCAATGCATTCTGTGACATCCAATGCATTCTGTGACATCCAATGAAAGACGTGACATCCAATGAACGACATGACATCCAATGCATTCTGTGACATCCAATGAAAGACATGACATCCAATGAAAGACATGACATCCAATGAAAGACATGACATCCAATGCATTCTGTGACATCCAATGCATTCTGTGACATCCAATGAAGGACATGGCATCCAATGAAGGACATGACATCCAATGCATTGTGTGACATCCAATGCATTCAGTGACATCTTATGCATTCAGTGACACCCTATGCATTCAGTGACATCCAATGCATTCAGTGACATCCAATGCATTCAGTGACATCCAGTGAAGGACATGACATTCAATGCATTCCGTGACATTCAATGCATTTAATGACATCCAATGCATTCAGTGACATCCAATGCATTTAATGACATTCAATGCATTCAGTGACATACAATGCATTCTGTGACATTCAATTCATTCTGTGACATCCAGTACATTCTGTGACATCCAATGAAGGACATGACATCCAATGAAGGACATGACATCCAATGAAGGACATGACATCCAATGCATTCTGTGACATCCAATGCATTCTGTGACATCCAGTGCATTCTGTGACATCCAATAAATGACAGGACATCCAATGAAGGACATGATATCCAATGCATTCTCTGACATCCAATGCATTCTGTGACATCCAGTGCATTCTGTGACGTCCAATGAAGGCCATGACATCCAATGCATTCTGTGACATCCAATGCATTCTGCGACATCCAATGAGAGAAATGACATTCAATGAAGTCTATACAACCATTGAATGCTGAATTGCTAGTTATAAATAAAGGATTTACTCAAATGTTCTAAGACACATGTCTAGTCTGCGATGTTGTTTTTTTGGAAATCCCTTATTTGTGAAGAACCCTAAAAAATATGTATAACAATTATAAACAGAATACAGACTGTGCAAATTACAGTTCAGTTCTCGCGGAAGCTTTGGCTTTTGTGGCATCATTGTCGCCTACGCATGGCTTCATTGTCGCCTCAGCATCGCATCATTGTGGCATCAGCTTCGCGTCATTGAAAATTGAAGCTGTGTTCGCCTCGCTATTTTGTGGCATCATCATGGCCTCAGCTTCACAGTCTCATGGCATCAACATGGCATCAGCTTCAACTTATTGTGACATGAGTATGACCTCATTATTTGCACGCAGAAGGGCAGTAGACAAAAACGTGTACAGAAGTTCGATATGTAATCGATTTGAAATTCAAGGCAAATAAAATAATATGATCAAGAGTAAAATG